AATGGTTTCCCTTTGCTCTAGTCAAAATTCAAACTCCTTACCACACTTCACAGACATCCACTTAGCATCTCCTACTCCTCTCCCCTTGGCTGACCAGGCCACAGCCTCACTAGTTTCCTCCTTGTCTCTTGGACACATCACATGCTTTTCCATTCCTGGGCCTTTGTGTGTGCCATTCCTGCTGCCTGGAATGCTTTTGCCGAAGCTCAGGGGTTCCCGCCTTGGCACTATTGACATGTTGAACTGGATAATCCTATACTTTAGGGGCTGTCCTATAAATTGAAAGATATTTAGCTGCTTCCTGACCTCTGCCCACTAGATACCAGGAGCATCCCTACTCAGTTGTAAAAACCAAAAATGTCTCCAGACATTGCCCAATGTTCTCTGGTGAGCTCAGTCCCCCAGTTAAACCACTACCTTAACTCTTTGAATGTCAGCATAGTCTCAGCCTGAATGTCACCTCTTCAGAGGTTTCTCCTGGCCATCTTGGGTGGCTCTTGGTCACATTATGTTTAATTCTGTCACTCAGAGCACTCTCATGATCCATACTTGTCTTATTTCTGTATTAATTGACTCCAAGCATCAGGGTAGGGGTGGGTAAGGGCACAGCTCTTGTGACAACCACAAGAGTGTGAGGCGAAAGTTCTGGGCTGGGGAGTCCAGAGAGTAAAGGAAAAGAACCAGGTTGCTGTCCTTGTCATTGCTGGGAGGAGGTGGGAGAAGGGTTAGACATTGGTCATGTTGAGTTTGAGGTGCCAGGGGCATCGGGGTGCAGGTGTTCTAAGGATATGGGGCACAGTAGGGCTTTGGGGGGGATTGGAGACACCAGGCAGGAAATCCCATGTGAGGCTGGAGGAGCAAATTAGAGCTGCTGCTTAGATGGCCAGAGGGAGTCCTCAGGTGGAAGCCACCTGCTTCCTCTGGAGCCCTGTGAGGCTGTGCCAAGTGGATAAGCAGGATGGAACCTAGAAAAGTGCCAATTTCTCAGGACACGTGATGAGACCAATGGGCCCAGGAAGAGGCCTCCGTGTTTGTAAATGGGACAAGCTAGACTCTGACTGAACTCTCTCTCTCTCTGGCCTTATATCACTCTCTAAACTTCTCAGACCTTGGCAAATCATTACACCATCTAAAGTAGCTTCCATTGCCCTCAATGAAGAGCTCAAGAGTGCTCTGTTTGGGGGATTCTGCTTTCAATTACCAATAAGAAGGATTACTAGGTACAAGTGGGGAGGGGTCTATCTTCAATACCAGAGGATGGCAAACTGTTTGTCAGGGCCAGCTTGTACACATTTCAGGCTTTGCGGGCCCTGTGATTTCTGTCACAACGACTCAACTTGCGAGTATCCTTATAAACTTTATAAAATTCATCAGGGAATAAGAGAAGGGAATAAACACAAATACACCAAGCTTACCACACATTTGTCATTAATCATGAGGTCCACTTGCTCTCTGACCTGCTTCCTCGTAGTTGTTTACTGCCTGTTGCTCCAGAATCACATAGGCCCTGCCCCAAGATTACAGTTCTCATTAACTGCTCTATAGATAACCACTTAAGCTGCTGCAAGCCTTGGTGTACTGGTCTGCTACTGCACGGTAGGCACATGGACCTGTTGGTCTTGTAACAAACTCTACCCATGTCGCATGAAAGCTGCCATAGACATCCTGTAAATGAATGAGCGTGGTTGTGTTCCAGTAAAACTTATTTATGCACACTGACGTTTTAGCTTCATACAATGTTCATGTGTCATGAAATATTTTTCTTCGGATTTTTTTCCAACCCTTTATAAATGGAAAAACCATCCTTAGCTCATGGGCTGTGCAAAAACATAGAGTGGGTTAGAGGCGTGGCTTTGGTTTGTGTTCACCTCGGCCAAGGCCCTACAAGTCTCATCATTTGCCAACTTGTTTTATATTGGCTTCTTGGCCTGACACACCTGTGCCGTGGGAAATTGTGACCTCTGTGTAGTGCAATTTCAGTGCTTGTTCTTATGGGAGACTCTTTAACTCCTCGTGGCTCTAGGGAGCCGGGACACCTTGATGTTTTCACCAGCCCATCAAGGGGTTTCCCCCACCCTGTTCCATAGGTGTAGCAAGCCTTCATGGATCCTAGTTTTTGGCAGGGAGTTTTGTCCTGCTCCCTGAGGAGTATGGACCTGAGGTGTTGTCTTCTATCCTTGAGTGGCTGTTTAAACACCAGTTCCTTTCCTCTTAAAGCCAAATGTGGGCCTATCAGTCCCTTTTAGACCTTTGGTATCAGATCCTGCCCATGGTCCTGGCTTTCGGTTCCCTTTACATTTCTTTTTTTTTTTGAGTTGGAGTCTCACTCTGTCACCCAGACTGGAGTGAGTGGCCACTCCCGGCCGCCGCAGCCTCGACCTGCTGAACTCTGGCAATCCTTCCGCCTCAGCCTTCCAAGTAGCCAGAATTACAGGCGTGCACTACCACG